TATTGCTCTCGTCTTCTTCTGCTTGTTTTCTTTTTTCTTTCTCAACAGGTGATCCAGGTGATCAATATATGTATTTTTTTTGTCTGCTTATTTAGTTGGATTTTGGTTTTTTTGCCCTTTATCCCCGTCCCTCTTCTCCGCTGTTTTTTCCCCTCTTCCTTTCTCACTTTTCTTTTCCTCATTCAAGTCTGTCAGCAAATGAAAATAAAAAAAAATAAAATAAACAATAAAAGGTGAATCAAATAGACCATTACGGCAAGGCTGGGATGGTCAATTTGGTAAAGTAAATCCGTTGGGCATCTTTCTTTGCCTTTAGACAATAATTCTGATGCAAAAGAGCCAAACGGGACAGGCAAAAAAAAAATTAAATAAAAAATAAATAAATCCGTAACACTGCCCACAGTGTTACTAGAGGCCAAGGTAATACCACAGAGTAGATATCTGGTTAGACGCCATGTTTCTACGATTATTGGGGCCATTTTTGAGTATATACATTATTGATTGATTGATTGAGATTATTGATACAATAATCTCACTTTTATCTGAATTTAGAAGTGGGAAATTAGAGGATCACATAGATTTTTGTCTTCAAGCCTGTAAATAATAGATTTGTGTCATCTGGCAACATCTACAGGGGGTTTAATTGGCAATGAAAATGTATTTTAATAACATTCCCTAACGGAAACATGTACAATATGAAAACAGCATAGGTCCAAGCAAAGTACCCTGTGGAACTCCATGACAAATTTTTATGTAAATAAGACTCCTAATTTAACACCAGTAAAGTAGACTTTCTTTAAAATCTACAGTATTTTCTAATCCCTGTAGTAAAATGTTTTGATCTACACCGAGTTCTAACAGGACAAGCACAGAAATAAGTCCTCTGTAACAGGTATTAAGGAGACCATTAGTAACCTTCACTACAGCTCATGTTTGGGTTTGTTGTCCTCTCAGTCTCCTGGGTGGAGGTGGATTCAGGAGTGGAGTCTGTCCAGCTGATCTGCAAAACCACAGTTTGTCTGCCTAAAGATGCTAAAGTGGAGTGGAAGGATGCAAACGACAGGAAGGTCCACATGTATGAGAACGGCTCTGACCAGCCTGAAGAACAACATACGAATTACAGAGACAGAACGAAGATGAAGAGGATGGTCCTGGAACCTGGAGACCTCAGTGTGACCCTGAAACACCCCACAGATGGAGACAACTCCAGCTATAACTGCACTGCCTACAGCAGGGAGGGACACATCCTGATGGAGAAAAAAGTGAATCTCACTGTCAGAGGTCAGTGCTGTAGATACAGGTCAAAGGTCAGAGGTCAGACTCATGATGGTGGTTCAGTCTCAGTGGCTCCATCCAATAATGTTACAGTGTTAGCATGTCTGATGTTT